TGTGGGGGACATCAGCGGTGTCTGATCACCTTGCCCTTGTTAATGGAATTAATCTTTGCACTGATCCCTTTGGGTGGAGGTGGGGAAAGGATCATCTGCAGCTGGCAAATGATAACATGACTTCCTAATGTCACAGAAGGAGTCTGTGGCAGAAGACCAAACCTAAATCACTTAAATGATCAGAGGGCAGGAGAACGGGCCTTATGACGAGAGGCTGAGAGCCATGGGACTCTTCAGCCTGGAAAAAGCGCAGGCTCAGGGGGGACCTGGTGGCTGCCTATAAGTACATAAGGGATGTACATCAGGATCTGGGGGAAACACCTGTTCACCAGAGCACCCCAAGGAATGACAAGGTAAAACGGTCACAAACTCCTCCAAGACCATTTCAAGCTGGACATAAGGAAGAACTTCTTTACCGTCCGAGCCCCCGAAGACCTGGAACAGACTGCCGCCGGAGGTGGTGCAAGCACCTACTCTGGACTCCTTTAAGAGTCAATTGGATGCTTATCTTGCTGGGATCCTGTGACCCCAGCTGACTTCCTGCCCCTGGGGCAGAGGGCTGGACTCGATGATCTTCTGAGGTCCCTTCCAGACCTAATGTCTATGAAATGCCAGACGAAAGCCGTATGCAAAACACTGCCTATCCTACCTGTCCGCGAGAAGTGCCTGCATTTCAGTGACCCTGCAAGGAGTAGCTTGCATAGCACTTCAAGATGCCCTCAGCAAAAAAGAGAAAATGCAGGATTACTTGCAAACTTTTCTCAGAAGCCACTGAAAAAACTAACTAGATAAAGAAGCAATATTGACCAGCTCTGTGATATAACGAGTTGCATGCTCACACCTCAACTCAGCTATTCATTTTCATACCTGCATTCTTGTCAAGGAAGTAAGCCAACAGGCATCTCATAACAGCCTGGTGAGCGACAACTAAGACACTGCCTTGACGTTCTAGCTCCATGATTACAGGCTCGAGGCGCTGCACCAAGTCTTGATAAGACTAGAAAACAAAGAAAGGTTTCAATGCAGTATAGATGCTTAAAGGTTAGTAGTCCATTGCCTTAAACTGAGTCTGGAATGCTACCATGTACATCAGTTTCCCCAAAACATTTCGCTTCAGTTCTTCCTTCTTTCCCAAATGCGCACACTCAGCTACAGCTGCTTAATTAGCAATTATTATTTTAAATCTTCTTCACCTCTCCTCCGGGATAGCGATAAAGATATTTCTCTTGATCTCTCAGAGCAAACTCATCAGGGTACTTATTTTCAATTTCTTCATAAGTCATTTCTTCACATACCCCCTGGTGGAAGAGGAACTTGTTAAAACAGAATTTGTTGCAAAAGATTTAGACATTGCAGCAGCAACACAAAGTAAATGACTGAGCGCAAGTTTCTGTGCTTATGTGACAGTAGTATCAAGATTCAAAACTCACTCATACTGCTGTCATTTAAACACAGAGCACTTTCATCTGAGAACCTCCACGTGGTTACACCTCCTCACGCTCCTACAAGGTAGATAAGCTTGAACATCTTTGCTGGACAGATGTAACACAACTCCTCCAAACAATTACACCTTCTTCTCATGGCGAGTTTTAGGCCAATGTATTTATGCTCCTTGGTAGTGGGTTGAGTCTGATTTTTAAATATATGCAGATAATGAAAAAGGAGTTATTTCTACTATATTATCCTGACAGCTTATCTGCTCATGAAAGAATTACCACTGACTTGATAACATCTGCCACTACTGTGGGTTGCTGCAGACACCTGGGACCTTGAATGATTACGTTTTCCCTGTATGGGAAAAAAACCTGTAGATGTTGCTAATTCTACACCGAACCATTTTGCACCTTGCAGGAGTGAAAAGTCCAGCATATGTCTGCCTAGACACTGCTGCGAAGCTTAATTACTGCTCAGAAAGTGCTTAGACATTTTTGCAAGCTGAGAGACAAGGCTGATCATTTCACATTCATTATAAATGGTTTTTATTTACAAACCTCCAAAGGGCCAGAACATAGTTGAAGAGCATCCCCCCATCCTACTCACAGCATCGATCTCATTCAAAATCTTCCACTGTTCATAGGGGACCCCCAAAGACTCAGCTGTCTGGATAGTTCTCTTCAGCTGGCTTGTCCACACCTTCAAATCCACAATTTCCTGCTCCTTGATAAATTTTTTCAGGGTTTGAGCAAACTAGAAGAAATTAATGCAAGTTGGAAGATGATAAAATTTACTGCTTCTTTATGAAGGAACTTGTGCATTTCAAAACAGAGCTGCAGTAAGAGACACAACCCAGAGCTGACAAATGTCATACTGGGTATAGAGTTCCCAGTAGAGGGGGGGGAAGGAAAAAAAAAAAAAAAAGCGTTCACTGAATGAACCGCCCTTCTTAAAAAGGAGCAGGGGAGTGACAGCTGAAAGTGTACATGAGGACTTCAACCCACCCCCAAAAGAAGTCAGATACACCCAGGATTCAGGGTTCAGAGAAACAAGTCTTTAATTGGCTTACATGGGGCAAACTCCACTGAAGTCCATACAACTGCATTCAGTTACATTGGTAGAGAATCTTGGCCAAAACCAGAGTCCTATCATGCTAAAGGGATACTTTAATAAGAGTATGACAATCCTGGCATTGTCATGAACATACCTGTTTGCCACGAGATGACAAGCCAGAATCCCCACCAATCTTGCCAACAAGGTTGTGCTCGCTCTCGCCATGTCGGCACAGGTAGATGGTACGGGGCTGGACGTGAATGTTCATAAGGTAGTAGACAATTTTACTCTGGATGTAATCCTGGACCCGGTTTACCAGGAATCGCTGCCCCACGTTGATCACTTTAATGAAGGAAAGGTCTCTACAGCCAGCACAGAACAAGAACACACAACTCAGCATCTTTAAACCTAAATACATGTTAAGGGTGAGGGGTGTATACACACGCACGTATGTACTCTAGCTATCCATTCTGCCGCACTGATGTTGTGCTACCCCTTAATGCTCAGATATCTCCATGCCTTAGAAAATGCTTAGGGAGAAAGCACAATGTGATGTTACAGTATGAATCTGTATTACATTCTACTTTGTAAGAGGAAAACTTTCAAGTCATTTGGGACTTGATTCTATGCTCCTAGCACAAGAAAGGCTGACTTTATAATATAAATCACTGGGAATGAGAGTTATGTCAGAGTAGAGAGAGGACCCTTTGAATGACAGGAGATTAAATCAGGCAACAAAACTGACACCAACAAGTGTATCAGTCTCCATCCAGCGTGCAGGACAATACAGTCTCAAATGCAGCCTCTTACTTGTCATAATCATCTGGATCAAGAAGCTGGTATGTGACTTTATAGCACTCTATCCTCTTCAGGAAGTCATCCATCACATTCTCTCTGTTTCTCTCTGGGTAGTCAGGACTTGAGACCTTCACTTCCTGAACAAGAGAGACACTTTGTAAAAGTTAAGCTCACTTTCCTTCAAAATAGAAACACGACCGAGTGACACGATTCTTTTACAGTTAAAGATACACAGTGTTTGAATTTCTCCTTCTCCATCCCCATGTGCCCTGTGAAGAGCCTGCCCCTGGCAAGGAAACAAAGGGCAATTCTCAATGACCTGTTGTAGCATTTGGCCTGGGGACAGACACAGCTGGTGTCCCTTTTGCCGTTCCAGGCAAACTATTTAGTGCATATCTGCCCATGAAAATAAAATCATCCTCCAAGGTCAAATGCTTCACAGCTTTGGTTTGGTTCCCAAGTTCCAACAGAAGTAATCCATCTGCTTTTGCTTTCTCTATGACCACAAATAGCAAGCGCTTATCTCAGGGATGAAACAAGAACGAGCCTATCAGAATGCCCCATAGCATTGCAAACAGCCACTCCACCCCCTGTACTTTATACAAGGCTGCGATAGCGTCAAGCTACGAGCAGCAAAATTACACGTATTGCAAGCAGTTTAGTTTCTACCTTTGCTGGGCTATTAAGATACCATATAAATTAGACTTGGTTATCTTAGCACAAAAATGCTCTGAAGTAGTGTGGGTTTAACCCAGAAGGCCCCTCAGCAGGGGAAAAAGGAAATAAAAGGAGATCAGAATGAAAGTTAGCACCCTGTATGCCAGTGTACATGTAGAGCCCCTCAACTGGCTCCAGCTGGATAACTTTGGATTGACAATTATGTAACAGAGATCAACACCAGACCAAGCACAAGATCCTGTTACAGCACCGTCGGCATGACCTTGCACAATGTCCTGCTAACACTTAGTTAAAATGGAAGAAGACAGAACGAAGGCTTTCAAACCTAGAATCCCCTACTCTTGCAGAACAGACCCAACTCTCCAGCAGGGCTTAGCAGCTTCGTTTTTCTTGTTTCAAATGGAAGCAACTCACATTTCCCAATCATCCCAGGAATCATAGCAGATGCTTCATCCTGGGTACACTGCTGCCTGGCATCATTTCCACCCCTGAAACTGGTAAAAGTTGCTACTACCATTTGGTTTTGGTGGCCTCCTACAACCACTCTGCGCTCATATCGCACCGTGGGAAAACAATTGTGTTATATACAGGGCAGCAGAGAGTCAAGACCCCGTATGTGCTAACAGGCTAATCTGCATGCATTACAGACAGGAGTGTCTGGGACCCTTTCAGATTAGTATTAGCCTCCAAGATCAGTTTAATCTCAAATCCTTAATGCACAAAACTTTGACACACAAAGTACATGTCTGTGGGGCCAAGGTCTAAGACACACCTTAGCATATAGGATCCTAGAACAATATGCTAGCTGCTTCCTCAAAGAGAGTCAATGCATTGTCCAGAAGAGTTTCAGTTTCATTACTGAACACTTAACTGGATCATACTTGCTTGACATGGTTTCCTTGCTGTGCCTGGTTTGGAAAAGCCCCTCCTAATTCCTTGAGCTGCTGCTGTTTACAGTGCCCATACTACTGAGACTAATGACATAGACCGTGTACAAAGGGAAAAAGGCTATGTCCTACTGACATTGCTTTTCTCAGCTATTAGCTTACATTTTCTCATTCTTATCTCTAACAACTACAAATCTCAGCAGTTATGATGAACCATTTCAATCTTCCACAACAAACATCAAATCTTCTAAAGACAGCCACTACACACTGCATCTGTGAATGTATAGCACCTACCAGGATATTGGCAGCAATCACATCAGGATCATCACAGACAGACTCCACAAAAAACACCTGTGGAGAAAGCAATGGCCTTTTTAACAGAATGCAGATGCTCTAGAACAATGCTTGTAAATCATATTAATCCCTAGTCTAATCACATACAAAG